TTTTGTTTGTTTTTTTGTTTGTTTATTTGTTTTGTTTGTTTTTTTGTTTGTTTGTTTGGTTGGTTGTTTATTTGCTTGTTTGCTTGATGTATTAGGGTCTAGGGTTAAGGGTAGGCTTTATATATATATATATATATATATATATATATATAACCCTAAACCCTAAACCCAAAGCCCTTGCCTTCCACTCCTCGTATTTTTCTTGTTCCTTCTTGCGTTTCTAATACAGTATCCTAAATCATAATTTTCTGTATTGTTTTTAAGGGTTTATTAGGGTTTATTAGGGTTTAGGTTTTATTAGGGTTTATTAGGGTTTATTAATATTTATTAGGGTTTATTAGGGTTTATTAGGGTTTATTAGGTTTTATTAGGGTTTATTAGGGTTTACTAGGGTTTATTAGGGTTTATTAGGGTTTATTAATATTTATTAGGGTTTATTAGGGTTTATTAGGGTTTAATAGGGTTTATTAGGGTGTATTAGGGTGTGTTGGGGTTTATGAGGGTTTATGAGGGTTTAGGGTTTATAGTTTGTGTGTTTTTTTATGCAGGACTGTGTGAATCGCATAGAGGGTTTACTAAGCAGCAAACGTTTATGTGGGGTGATAGATGATCGAGGGCGTTTTCTTTATATAACAGAAAAAGAAATAAATAATTTAATTAAAGAAATACAAAATATTGGCGTTTTCAATAAACACAAAGATCTTGTCTCCATTTGCAATAGAGTTATCTCCCTCACACCCACACAAGAGGTCAGGGTTTATATATATATATATATATATATATATATATATGTATGTATGTATGTATGTATATATGTTATGTACACATGCATACTTGTGTTTATGCACGCAGAGATGCAGAGATGTATACATGCATGCATGCATGCATGCATGCATGCGTGTGGGTATGTATTTGTAGAGACGTGTATGCATGCAAAGATGCATGCATGCAGAGATGCATGCATGCAGAGATGCATGCATGCATGTATCTGTGCATGCATGTATCTGTGCATGCATGCATGCATGCATGCATATGTGAATGCCTGCATGCATGCGCAGTTTGAATTAGGTGTAGTAGTAGACGGAATGATATTATTTCTTCTGCATGCGATTGCTGCTGCTGTTGCTGCTGCTGCTGCTGCTGCTGCTGCTGCTGCGCGTGTAGTGCTATGCTGTGCTGCTTTGGGGCTGCATGCATGCGTTGGGTGTATGTACAGGACAAAGAGAAGATAGAAGAGGAGCAGCGAGAATCTATGAAGCTAATTCAGCTGGCGGGTGCTGACGACGAAGTGGCATAGAGAGCCAGCTGCTGCTGCTGCTGCTG